TTTTTTTTAAAGGCAAATTAGGCCCTCCCCGAAACGGGATCCTGGTTTCGCCACTGTCACAAAGTAAGATGTATAATCTTGGATTATTGAAAGTATTAATCGTGATAAGTACTTAATTTATTGTTATAAAACTAAGAGACAATCTAAACAAATTAATAGTTAAAGAAGACATGTTGCCATTCTAACTCATATATCTTATTTTTGTGACTGAAATTGCAATAAGTAAAAATGTTTGACTTAATTTGTAATTGTTATTAAGTTTGTGATTTTTTATGCAATTGAAAAATGACATGTTGGTATTTCTTTTTCATGTAGGATGACATGTTTTTCAAGTCTAAAAGATATGATGACATGATTTTTATGCAATTAAAAAATGACATGTTGGCATGTAAAAAGTTTTATTTTGCTTAGAAGTTTGAAACTAAATAAGATTTCATTTGATGCCGTTTTATTAATAAAGCCGGAAAATCTTGATATTTGAGAGAATCTTAATATTTTAAAATGATACTACATATATATGTAGCTTCAATCATGTATATGATATATGAATATGAATTTTAATAAGATATCATTTCAAACAATATTAAATGTCATTTGAATTATTAATAACAAAATAACATCAAAAAAGATTATATTGAAGGTTGATATCGACCATATCACAATAACATAATAGTTGACATGATACACACAAGGCACGATCTTGTAGTTTTTACTTTTTACCTTTCACACCATCTTTAAAATAAGTAACTTAATCATATAACTCTACATCGCGCCAACAATTATGTAGAGCGGTATATCAATATTTCTCCAATGTCAAAAGCATCACTTTCCTTATTGGTATGTCAATATTTCTCCAATGTTAAAAGCACTTTGAAGCCGCTTAAGAAGGTCTCGGGTTCGAGTCCTTGTGGATGCAGAAAATTCTTGTTAGGAGACTCATCCACCACTGCTAGGTGTGCGACCCGGGTTGACCAACAGGTTAGTCGGGGCACAGTTCCGGATACCATACCAGGCTACCAAAAAAAAAAAAGTAGCACTTTCCTTATTGGTATATCAATATTTCTCCAATGTCAAAAGCATCATTTTCCTTAATATAGTTGCTTCACCCTCACCATATTCCTATGGTTTATAAATACATGCAGTTCAAGGGTTAAGAAAGGCACACCAGTAGCATCGTACACTCATAAAAAAAATAAGAAAAAAAAAACACGCGCACAACTAGTTTAATTTCACTCAAAATCCAATACCATGGCTCTTTCCCTTAATTTATTTTACACACCCATACCCATAATCCTCTTCTCGCTCCTCCTCCTCCTCTCTGTTGTGTCGTCGGCCCTCGACGACAACAAAGCCAAAATTTACATCGTCCACGTGAAGACGAAGAACCCAAGCTCGACCGGCGGTGCCGAAACCGAAGACACGATCAAGAACTATCACATGTCTTTTCTTCCCCAGGGCGCTAAAGACTCCTTGATCTACTCGTAAATGTAAGCCATAAGTGGATTCTCGGCAAGACTAACAGCCCAACAAGTCGAAATAATCAAGGAAAAAGAAGGCTTTATCTCGATCCTCCCTGACAGTGCATCCCATCCGGTGACGACCCGTTCCCCAGCATTCCTCGGGCTGAACCAGTGGAGCGGAGCCTGGCAGCAGACGGGTCTCGGCGATGGAGTTGTCGTCGGGCTCATTGATGGCGGGATAACCCCAGGCCACCCCTAGTTCAATGGCTCCGGCATGTCACCCTAGCCTGCCAGCTGGAAGGGAGGTGTGACCTGCCTGAGAAGTTTGGTTGTAACAACAAAGTCATAGGAGCTCGGGCGTTCAAAGGGGGAAGCGCCTCCGCCTTGCCGGTGGATAGGTACGGACACAGGACCCATACGGCCAGCATAGCCGTTGGGGCATTCGTTCCCAACGTCAGCGTCCAAGGCAACGCGGGCGGGACCGCGTCCGGGATTGCCCCACGCTCTCACCTTGCGGCGTACAAAGTCTGCTTTGCTGGCGACTGCCAAGCAAGCGACACACTAGCCGGTATCGATGCTGCCATCGAGGATGGGGTGGACTTGCTGTCCATTTCCTTGGCTGGCGTGTTCAAACCATTTTACGAAAGCGTTATAGCGATTAGCAGTTTCGCGGCAGCCAAGAAAGGAATCCTCACTAGCGTGGCAGCGGGGAACGATGGTCCTTCCACCTCGACGGTGATCAACGATGCGCCCTGGCTTCTCACTGTCGGGGCAAGCACGATCGACCGAAGGATTCGGGCCACGGCGAAGATGGGAAATGGGTTGGCGTTCGACGGGGAGTCTGTGTTCCAGCCTGAAAACTTCTCTTCTCATAACTTCTTGCAGCTCGTCTACTTCAACATGTGCTACAATGGGTCACTGGTCGGGTTCGATGTCAGGAACAAGATCGTGTTGTGCGACGGAGATGATATAACTTCATCAGCCTATGAAGTTAAGAATGCCAGTGG